GGGGGGGGGGGGGGACATTCCTCATCCTCATCCTTTGTCATCCTTTTCTTTCGTCTCGCACGAGCCATATCGGAACTCGCAGCAAAAAAAAAGGTTGCATCCCCCGGATTCCCGCTGACATGCATATTTTGGGCCGCATGAAAGCGGAGATCTTCCCTACCACCATCCGATCTCAGGGCGTGGCCTGGTCTCTCGCCGGGACATTTCTCTCGACGTTGGTGTATGTCGAGGCTGCGCCGACGGCCTTGGCAAACATCAAATGGAAATACTATATCGTCTTCATCTGCCTGACCTTTGTCAACATCTGGATCTTTTACTTTTGGTGTCCCGAGGTAAGAAAAGAGACTCCATTCTCTTTTGACGAGGATGTTACTGATCCAACCAACTTTCTTTCAAAGACTCGAGGCAAGTCGCTGGAAGAGATCAATGCTTTGTTTGGTGACGAAGTGGTGGTACATTTTGCGGATGCGACCGAGATGCAGAGGCACGAATTAACCGCAAAGGTATTGGCACAGGACGACAAACACGAGTTCGCCTCGGGTGGAGCTAGCGTAGGAGAGGTGAGTACAAAGATGGCGTTGAAAGTCTAAAATGGAACCAAGGAGGGGGGGCGTGTGGGTGGCACAAAACCTTTGAGAGAAGAGGGGAATAGAGAAAGAGGGAGAAAAACTCCGATGATGATGATGATGATGATGATGATGGCATGAGATTTCCTCATACCTCGCAGGGAGACCGGGCAGACTTGTTAGAGGGGTACATACGGAGTACGCACAAGTACCGAGTAGATGATAAAAAGCTTACAAAGTACCATCAAGGAGGCAGCAACCCCAGACATTTACCGAGTATCATCATGATCGGATGATGCGCGAGCGGACAATCACACTTTGGGCAATCTGGATCTTGCCTCCCCCATCCTTGGAGTGGTGTGTGACCATGTTGTCGTACTCGTACCTTATCGGAATGTGGTCACGAGTGACGTAGCAGGGAGTCCGAGGGGCCCAGTGCTGTAGATGGTCGTTTCCAGCACCAGCACAGCACAAGATGAACAGGGGTCCAGCGGAAGCCTTAGGGAAGTAGTTTCGCTGGATCAGGGATTCTGGCAAGGCCGTGGCTGGGGCGGTTGCCAGGGAGGCTCAAATGATTGGCTAGGCGGAGCAGTGCCTTGTGGCTTGCATTAGGCTACGGATATTAATATCTCTGCTAAGACTCGGCTAGTTGACACTAGTTCCCCAAGCCCCGAGCATATCCGCCACTCACAGTAGCCCCTGAGGCTCAAACTCCACTTCTACCAGATATGATTGGCCGATACTCCGTAGCCACCCCGGCTCCCCACTGCGCAGGTACCTTGATCCAATTTCCCAGAGGGCAGCTAAACCTGCTATAGCCCAGATTTGCCCTGCCTCTTCTGGTACGAGGCCACGGTACAAGGGGCTAAACTGAGACATTGCGCCATGCCAGGTCCCATGTCAATTAAACAAAAATCTACTCGTATCATCGAAGAAAGGAAAAAAAAGTCACAATCCAAAAAACCGACCCTTTTCTCTTTGGGTGCGAGGCGCAAATCGTGTCACCAACCAACCACCCCAGTAACTAGTACCGACGGTAACCTCCACCACCAAGTGTCACCTTCGACAAAAAGAGTGAAAAAAGGTAGATGGCACTTTAGCGAGTATATGCCCATCACCAACCTCGCCCTTTTCTCTCTTGAAGCGAAACCCCCCCCCCTTCTCTGCTCATTCTCCTGCTTCAGCCAGAGTCTCTCGCTCGAACCTGCCTGCCTTTCTCCACACGGCCGTCAACTCCGACATACTGGACATACTCTCGTTACTCAACCAGCCTGGCCTACCTACTCGGGACAGTACTATCTTAAGCTTGGGAAAAGCCCATTTCCTCCCAGCGGGTTATTCTTCGACTTTCTCTCCCGCATTTTCAGCCCACCCTTGGTTTCTTGACCAGAGAGGTTGTTTGTGTGTTGAACCTTTGGGAGTTGACGAGGAACCGAGTGACACCAAAACACGTTTCGCCTCGATGCTCTCTGAAACGAGATTGCGGGATCGACTCGACTCTTAATTTAGTAGCCCTCTGTACAATTTTGGCCCCGGGCTGCCTCTCACGAGTACCGCCTCGCTGGATCAATTATTTGAACCGCTGTGCAAACAGGCCACGCCCCAAGACGCCACCAACCCGATAGCACAGACCCCCTGGTGGATTCGATTATTATTTCTCAACGACATTATTCCCGAGCTGTTGTTGTCACTGTAGCCCGGAGAGACAGACCCGGTCACTATCTTGTGTACCCCCCCTTTCAACGGTCGAGCTGTTGTCTGTTGTTGTTTTCTACCTCTGTCGCCTTTCTCTTCAGCATCGGTTCAACAGGTTGAACCTCGAAACAAACCTTTGTGGGTTCACGCCAGACAGGACGACAAAACCATGGCGTCGTCGTTGCAAGTTCCAGACATGTCTTCCATGCTATTGAACCTTCCCCCCGAGGTCAGGAATCTCATCTATAAATTCGCCTTTCAACAGTCGCACCCGCTAAGGCTGAGGTGTCCGTCGCAACGTCGACTCCGTCCATCGCGGCCCCCCAGAGACGACCCTCGTGGATTCTTGGATACCTGCCAGCTGATCCGGTCAGAGGCCATCACGTTATTCTACAGTCTCAACGCGCTGGTCTTCCGGTCATCGGGAGACGCCCTGGCATTCCTGTCGGACCCGGATATCCATCCCCTCATCAAATCGTCGTTGACACACATCGCGGTCGATTTTGGCGACAGCACCGACGCCGACACAATCCTCAAGGACCACATCACTCTCGTCGACATCTGTGTCGGCGATCTCCCCCGGCTCAAGGTTCTAGAGACTCGCTTCTATGCCCGAACACTGGACGCCTGCTCATCCTCGCATTTCCGAACCTTGGCGCTCGCCTTTGACGGGCTTGATGCTGACATGAATGCACCTCCTTCACCTCGCTCACCTCGCTCACCTCGCTCACCGCGGTCGCCTCGGTCGCCCCGATCACCACGTGGCTCTCCTCGAAGCTCCATCTCCAGTGGCAGTTCGTCACCTGTCTCAACGCCGGCGACAAGCGTGTGCTCGTCCCCTTGCTGGGATCCCGAACCCGAACCGGAGCTGGACATGTCGGCGATCCAAGCCGAAGTGCTCGAGCAGTACTGCTTCACGCCGTCGGCGGCCATTGCGTTTGCCAACTCGAAGCTGAAGTTCTCGGTCGCGGCCTCGTCCGAGAACTACCCGGGGGTCAAGCACGACAAGCTCATCTGCTACAATTTCCGGATCGGGGTGGACGGCATCGCCAACGCTCTGGGCCCTGCCAAGGAGGCCGTCAGACAGCGAATCAGCCGCGTAGGCATGTTACCCCGGCAGATTAGCGAAATGTACGACACGGCTGCCGACGGCGGGTTCCACCGGCGAGTGCGCTCGACCATTGCCAACTGCGCCAGGATCGACGTTGGTGTGTCGTGATTTGACCGGCAAACAGACTGGCTTGGGCCTGCTAGGCAAGGCAAGGCAATAGGCATTCAGGCATTAGGCATCCTCTTTTTTTTTTGCCAAACCTTCTGCTTGCTTCCCTCCTTGACTTTGTTAATTGGTGGGGGAAAACCTGTTTTGTGTGTGTATGATGAAACTCGGGGTTCTGCTTGCTTGCTTGCTTGCTTGGTTCCCTCTCACAAATTCATCATGGAGGAGGCAAACCTGAGAGACTCCATCAGTTCCCCACTTTTTCCAGTTGGATGGGCTTGCCATTGCCATGGGCTTCTGTTCGTGGTCAACAAAGACCGGGACCGGTACCGAGACCGAGACCAAGTTTGCATTGACTTGATGTTCTCTTGCCATTTCCAATTCATGGCAAGGCATGGCAACACTCAGTCATTCACCCACCCGACCGACCAACAGGGAGACCACCCCCTCACCACCACCCCTACCAGAGGGAACATATGACGAAGACGAAAGAAAAGCTACGAAAGCCAACGAAAACCCCAGAACCGGAAAAAACGAAACGTGAACGAAGATTAGGCATGGGAGGGTAATGCACGGGGTGGATCACGGCGATCCGATCGGGAACATCTCAAAAAGAAAAGAACAGATCCGTTTGACGAATCTTTGTTCCACGGGAGAGATCTTGTGTGGCACATGTTTGTGTGCATTTTTCACACACACACACACACACACACAGACTCACACATACATGCCTCTTATGCATGTATGCATGCATGCGTGCATGCAGATACCCCCTTTCCCTTTTCCTTTTCTTTCCTTCCCTTTCCACACCCTGCTTGTTGGACTGGACGGCCGTTGTTGTTACATACATACCCCATCACGAGCATTGTAATTTAATTTTTTTTCTACCTTACCCTTACCTTACCTTACTAGTTAGTTAGTACCCTTTGGTCGGTATCACTGCTGACTCTTTCTCACGACATGATGACCCCCCAAAAATATGAGTTATGATTATGAATTCCTGAAACCTTTTTACCCGTGGTTCCTTGTTTTCTGTTTTTTTTTGGTTTTTTTTTTTTGGTTGGTTCGGGGAGGAATAACTGGACAAAGGGACAAAAGGACCAAGGGTCGAAGGGTCGAAGGGTCGAAGGGTCGAAGGGTCGAAGGGTCGAAGGGTCGAAGGGTCGAAGGGTCGAAGGTGGTGGGTGGTATGTCATGTTGGGTTTTGTAATTGGTCTGGAGATATGCTACCTATGTACCTACTGTACGTACCTTGGTTGGTAGGTAGGTAGGTATATGCTGTATCTATCTACGTAGGAGGTGCCATGTACTGTGTGTACATACTACTGCGCTGTTTCTGTGGTGTGCTGTACCTAATATGTATGTGGTCATGTATCTATTGTATCTATTGTGTGTACGTGTGTGTGTGTGTGTATGTGTGTGTATGTGTCCCTTGTGAGTGAGTACGTACCTCTCCTCCCCTCCTCTCTCCCCTCCCGTCCTTTGCTCAAGCAAAGACACAAACATGTGCACACAAACCAAAAAAAAAACCCCTCCACATCACAATCGATCAATCAATCAATCTGGTGAAAACCTGGACAAAATGGCAAATTCTCATCCGGGCCAACGGCCAACGGCCACCAACCAGCCAGTCAAGTCGGCCGCCAGTCACAGGACCACTGGCCACTGGCCACCGTTACTTGTTTCTTGTTTCTTGTTTCTCGTTACTCGTTACTGGTTACCTGTTCTTGATTACCAGGTACGTACTATGTACTACTTAACTGGCCAGCCTCACCGCTTACCTTAGCTTAGCTTACCCTTCGCGATCCGATCCGATCTGATCTGATCTGATCTGATCGATCCCGTTACCGAGTTTGCTCTTCGTGATCTTGTGGTCTGAAACGAAACAAGAACAGAGGGGTAACGTCCGTTAGCGGGGAGGCGGGGGCAAAGCAAGCAGCAAAGCAAGCAAGCAAACACCCGTTGGGGCTTGAGATTTGAAAAGTCTGGTTCGTGTCACTTGCCTGTCTTGGTAGGTTGGCAGGTAGGCAGCTATGTAACGACGAGGTATGTAGGTGGGTAAGTAGATAGGTGGTAGGAAGCAAAGTAGGTATGTATGTTTGTTATGTACATCGGTAACAACGGGTACACACCCTCCCCTCCTCCTTCACCCGTATACGAGATTGAGAATTGTTTGAAGACGTAAGCTTGTAGTAACATTTGGGAAACAGGAAAACGCGAAACAAATACACACATACACAAACAACACACGCACACACACGCATACACACATGGAAACAAACCAACCCAAAACCCCCCACCACCCACAAAGGGTGTGTCTTTCTGGGGCTGACGTCGCGGGCTCGCTCAGGGCCCAGATGGCGGGAACCCGCTTGTAGCTCTGCCTTGATCAAACATCAGACAAAACGGGGTGTCATGCGACGCAGGGTGCACCAAGAGCCTCAGCGCATCGACCATAAATGACCCATGACCCAAACACTCTGTCTTCCAATTCTCAAAGTCTTCAGTTCCAGTCTCGACCATATCGAATCCAAGTTCTAACAAGGCCAAAAACCCCCGGTCCGACGTATTGTCCTGTACTGCCAGTGTCATTGTCAGTGTCGACCTTCTCAGCATAGCCGTCTCTTTGCAAGTCGCAAACAATCAGCCCGACAATATTTGGCAAAAACGCAACAATGTGCGAAACCATCCGAATCCACCATCACTGTCCCAACGCGGGCTGCAAAGGCGCCATGATCACCAAGGACAACTTGTGCAAGCATGCCAAAAAGAACAAACCGTGCAAAGGGCACAGACATCGCACCGTGGCCGGACAGACAAAAGACTGTGCTTCGCATCGCCGGCAGAAGTACGAGGGCCAGAGTGGAAGAGGCAACCCAACCTGGTGGGATGAAGTTTGACAGGGAAGACGATTGTGGTCGGCGACCGAGGATCCGATAGTGGATATGGGAGAGTTACGTTGCAAAGTCGGGGATCTCAGAAACACAGCTTTCCACGTCGACGGTTGAGCCGGACGCATCTGGCCAGAAAGGCCACTCAGCTTGTTCAAGGTCGTATACCTGTCCCTTAGAGACAATTACACGCTGCCGGGTTGCAGCCAAGTGAAGACTCAATATAGCATATCAGCGCTTGAAGTGCAGGATTTTGCTGAGCCGCGCCCAGGCAGCCTCCACTTCTTCCGGAACATCAACGTGAACAATGAAGTCTTTTCCCTCTGGGCCATATCCGTTCTTGTCGTCTCGTATCCGAGGGATTTCCCCCATCAGGAGGTCAATGAAACGGTGGCTATCCCAAAGTGCGGAGGACTCAATACCTGATGTGTCTGCTGTGAGATGCAGCATACCTTTTTCATCTAGAGAAGCCAGAGGGACGAACGTTGGACAGGCGAGAAATTCAGGTGACGGCTCGACGCCTTGGTAAGTGTGCTGAAAGGCAGCCAGTGTGCGCAGCGACATTGTCGGCTCCTGGACGACGATACAAGACCTGGGCGCCGAGATCGAATGTGCCTCGAGCACTCGACGCGTCTCAATGGCATTGGCTCCACAATTGGTCGAATTGGCTTCAATAATGCATTTCATCTCACCCGACTTGATTCGTCCATGGAGTTTGGGGTAATACCCGGAGAGAATCCGCTCATAGACGACAGCCTCGGGAAGCCCATCGATTTCGTCGGCCAGCCGACAGTATTGGTCATGGGCGCGAACAGCTTCATAGAGGAATCGTGTAGAGTGCCCAATTCCGCCGCAGATGACCAAGACTTTTGTAAGATCTGGACGCGCTTCCAGGGCTGAGAAGACGTTGTCGGCAATGGGCAGGATTGCGTTGCCACAGAAGACAACGACATCAACGGCAGAGCAGGTGTGGAGCGAAGGGACTTGCAAGCAAGACAGATAGCGTGAGAGGGTGTTGATGTCCGCCACATCCGACTGAGAAAGGGCCACCATCGTGTTGATCGGTGCCCATCAAGGTGAGAGAAAGGGCGATTGGGCTCGGAAGCGGAAAATCTAAACGCAGAAAACAGAATATCACGTGATGGCACGTGATAAGACACTCATTATGCCAAGACCTTGGCGCGTCGATCTCCTTCAAGCCTTGGCGGATGCTTTCCCTCAAGCTTTCCATCTCCAGCCACCCGGAGAATTCACCTGACTATCTCCCTCGTGCTTTGATCCCGCGATTTCGTCTTCAGAAACCTGCGTCACGTCAGCTGGAAACTTCCTATCTGGTGCTATGTCTTTCGGCTACTCGATACAGGTTTGCTACTCAATCCCACCATATCCCAATCTTGGCCATGGAGACACAATCGGGTCGATAAGCGCACGATGCAACTCTGCTCTGCACCACCCAAATGCCCAGATCAAAGCCAAGGGATCCGGAAGGCTTGGGGATCTCTTGGTACCACCCAAAGCTTGATGGTTTTGACGGCTATACTTGGGCAGGAAGCTCGTCATTAGCTTCAGTTACAGCCAAGCTAATATCCCCAAACCAGTTGCGAACAAGATCTCCATCTTTTTTTCTCTCCCATATATACATGAGGAAGGTGACAAGCCTCCAAAGGAATCGGGGTGCCAAAAGGTCCATCCCTGCACAATCCTTCCTGGCCCTTGTCTGAACACAGGCCCATGTCTCGCCACCACTGTCATTCCATGACCACCGTTGATGTAACTCTCTTTCTTATCGAGTGACCTGCTTTCTGAACAATCCAAGTACTATCGGTGCCTGCCGTATGCAACATGGCTCATTGCTCGGGTAGATGCGGCAGGGGACCGCGGGTGGGGGAATGAAGAGGATGGGTTGATGCATTTATCAAGCAGCGACCTTGCATCTCACCAGAAGTATTGCATTTAGCCTGACGTTCTCGCACGCGAGAGAAAGGAGGACACAACACCGCTCTTTACGACACAAGTTTCGGAAATGTTGGTTCTACGCAGTCTGGCGACAGCAATAGCTGTTCTGCCATTTGTCTTGTCCATTACGCCAGAGTCGGTCCTGCCCAGGGTCCAACTGACTGTATTTTGCTAAACTTCTTCTCAGGCAGATGCTCGCTGCGCCACGACGCGGTGAATTGGTCCCAAACCCGTCAGGAGTAAGTCGAACCTGACATTGGTAGCACAAGGCTGATGCTTGTCAAAAGCAACTAGGTGTATTTAGTGCAACTAGCTATTCATGGGAGACCCATGGGGCAGAGACTGTGTGGCAGCTAATGAATCTCACCACTGGTGAAACTTCTCTACTATACAACGGTTCCGATATCTCGGAGATTGTCTGGGTTGGGCAGTCCGACACGAGCATTCTCTACATTAACGGCACCAACGAAGAAGACAATGGCGGCATCAGCCTGTATGCTGGTGACATAAACGCCATCGATGAAGCGTGTGTCTGCCTTGACAAGATATCATTACTAGGTTGACACTCATAGGTATCTAATCGCATCACTTCCAGCGCCATATTCTGGGCTCAAGGCGGTGGTAACCCCTTCCGGAAACATAAACTTCCTCTTGAGTTGCCTGGCATGGCCAAATGGAACGGCTTACAACGAGGAGCTGGCCGAAGAGCCGCTGAGTTCAGCAAGAATCTACACGAGCATCTATGTCCGCCATTGGGACACTTGGCTTACTGAAAGGAGAAATGCCGTGTTCGCTGGCACGCTGACCGGGGTGGATAGGTATTCTCTGGGCGGAAGCCTGAAGAACCTTGTAACAGGCCTTGCCAATGTTACTCGGGCTGAAAGTCCCGTCCAGCCTTTTGGTGATTCTGGCGACTACGATATTACGCCGGACGGATCCACGGTCGCTTTCTTGACGAAGAACATTGATTTGCCGTTGTCAAACTATACATCCTCTCAGATCTATCTTGTTCCTCACAATGGTTCATCTTTGCCCGTACCGATCAATGCCTTTTCTGGAAGTTCGACACCTCCAAACGCCAAAGGGGCTTCGGCGAGGCCGATGTTTTCTCCAGATGGCACAAAGATCGCATATTTCCAGATGGACGGGATTTCCTATGAATCCGACAAGAACAAGATCTACGTCGCCAATGTCAATACCAGTAATTTCAATATCACCAGCCTAGCAGAGGACTGGGATAGCACTCCCGATCAACTTAGATGGTCTGCCGATGGCACTTCCCTTTTTGTCGCAGCACCTGATCTGGGTAACGAACGTTTGTTCCAAGTTCCGCTCACGGCTGGACCAGGGTTCAAGCCCACAAATATCACCAATGCTGGTGTCGTTGCTTCGTTTTACGTGTTGCCGAACGGGAACCTTTTGGTGTCAGACTCCAAGATATGGTCTTCCCGTGACTTCTACATCATTGGTCCCCGGGGCAGGCTTGTTACCGACCTCTTCCGGTCGAACCAGGTCGACCCCGAACTCGCAGGGCTGGGACCGACGGACGTCTCCGAGTTTTACACCCTGGGCAGCTTCACTCGGGTACAGAGCTGGGTCATCTACCCCGAAGGGTTTAACCGGAGCAGGAAATACCCTTTGGCATTCATTGTCCATGGCGGTCCACAAGGTGGACACTACAACTCTTGGAGCACCAGATGGAATTTCAAGGTGTGGGCGGACCAAGGCTACGTGGTCGTGGCGCCGAATCCGACCGGAAGCACTGGCTGGGGAATGGCTTTGCAGGATGCAATCCAAGGAAATTGGGGCAGTCTCCCGTATGAGGACCTCGTTGCTGTGTGGGAGCATGTCAACAGCACATTTGACTATATCGATACCCAGAATGGAATCGAAGCCGGAGCCTCGTACGGCGGCTACATGACAAACTGGATCCAAGGTCACGAATTTGGCAGGAGATTCAAAGCCCTCGTTACGCATGACGGGATGGTCAATACGGTAGCTTCCTACTCGACTGAAGAGCTGTGGTTTATGCAACATGATGTAGGTTTTGCACCGACCCCGAAGACTGTGGCTCACGCTCACCGCAAAACAGATGAATGGCACTCTGTGGGCCAACCGAAATGAATATGATGAGTGGAATCCCATCAACCACGTCGACAAGTGGGCGACGCCACATTTTGTGGTGCACAATGAGCTGGACTACCGACTGCCCATCGCCGAAGGGATCACGCTCTTCAACCTGTTGCAGGAGAGGGGCGTTCCGAGCAAGTTTCTGAGCTTCCCCGATGAGAATCATTGGTGAGGACTCTGTTGTAGAGTGATCGCAATGTCAGACTGACAATTTGTTGTAGGGTCCTCAACCGGGAGAACAGCCTCGTTTGGCACCGGGAGATTTTCGCGTGGATTAACCACTACTCCGGCATCAGTACGTCGGGCATGTGAACGACTAGGTCTCTAGAAAAGGGTTTCTTGAGGGACAACCTCAGCGCGACAAAAGTGCATGCAACGTTTTTCTGATCAAACACGTTAGCGGCAGAGACGAGCCCCTGAGATGGCGTCATTTGCGGACATTTTGTGGATATCGAGCCTCTGATCGACGTCTCGGCTTCTCTTGGATTGCTCCTCTGTTTTTTTTTTCCCCTTCTCCTCTTTCTCTGGTCATTCCTCCGCCTCTTGTGTTGTATAGGACGTACACTCCACCACCTCCACTTTCTCTCCATCTTTCCCTTATATACCGCCACACCAATCTTTTTCTGCAGGGATCTCGGCGTGCGTTGTCTGGCCCCGACATGCCTCTCCGAATGATCGATGGCCCGTTCCTCTTTTCGGGGCTTGGGTGGTCCCACAGGAGAACTGGGCCTACTGCATGGATGATGACATGCCAATGTTCCGCCGTCTGGTGTCATTGGCTTTGTCTGGGATTGCAGGGTGTATAGCGACCCAGGTCCCTGCACACCCAAGACCGATCAGCACCTCGACAAGCCCAGGACACGAAAAGTCATCGTGATCATCTTATCTTGATTAGATGAAAATTATCTGATGAGATTATCAAAAGTGCCCCGAGTCCAGTCTGGGGTCCCCGTTGTGGCATCATCGAAAACCCTCTCACGTCCCTTTTGGTAACGACGTCCGAATCCACTTGCGGATTCGTATGCTTTGGCTTGCACACAACTACTGCTTTCCGACATCGCTGTTTTCCCCCCCTGGTGGATTGGTCTTGTTCTTCATCATTTGATTCCCCCTCCTTCATCCCTGGGTATAGCAGAGGCTTTGCCCCACCAGTGGGTGTTCTTGGTACGTTGGCCTGGGGACCATCCTTCCCTAACACTGTCTATCGACCAGCAGGGGCGACAGAATTTTTCCTGCGTGCTGATCGTGTCGTTGCATTGTGGGTGACGACTTGACTACGCTTCAGCTGGGTTGTATATGGGTATAATGGATCGACCTTACTCCCCGATGGGGGGGCCATCTCATCTACTTGGGGAGGTCCCTCTGTTCTCGCTGGGTTTTTATTTTCGTTATTCCTGTGTTTGTCCCTGTTGTCTCTCCTATTGTATGATTGTTGTTGTCGATTCTTTCGCCGTGCTGGTCCGCACCCTCCTCCTCCTCCTCCTCCTCCTCCTCCTCTAGAAGAAGTGATGCCCTCGGACCAAAAGCCACCGTCGGCCCAAGCCATATCTCCTTCCTCCCACGACAGCACATCACCCGCGAGCAGTGACGCCACCATCGTTGACGAGGAGAAGAATGAGACCGCCGAAGAAACCGTCCGGTCCCGAACGGACTCGGAATCGGAGGAGGAGAACCAGAAAGCCCTGAATGCAGCCTGGGGAAAACATGGGAGAACATGGATGTGGATTGGGTATGTCCCTACGTCTTCTCTCGCCCATCTACCTACCTTCTTACCTGCTTGAAGAGGGCACCTCACCTTAAACCAAATATGACCTTTACCCGGCTAACAGATGGCGGAACCAAACAGGATCGCACTCATGTGGACCATCTTGTAAGGTGACCCTAGGATACATTAGAGACTTACCATGGTGCACAGCACATTTTGCTGAGTTTTGGGGCTCGTGACAGTGAACTCGATTACACGACCATCTACAACTACCAGAACTACGCGGCGTCGGACTTTGGCGAGATCGCGCTCCTCGGGGCGCTGATGACGGTGGGCACCATCGTGGCGGCGGTGCTCAAGCCGCCGCTGGCAAAGATCTCGGACGTGGTCGGGCGGGCCGAGACGTACGGGGCCGTCATCGCGTGCTACGTCGTGTCGTACATCCTGTGCGCGTCGGCGCGCTCCTTCGGCCAGTACATCGGGGGGTACATTGTCTACAGCGTCGGGCAGACGGGGATGCAGATCCTCAACCAGATCATCGTGGCGGACATCACGACGTCGCGGTGGCGCGGGCTCGCCAACGCCCTGGTCAGCCTGCCCTTTATGATAGTGCCGTGGTGCTCGGCCTTCATCGTCGACGGCGCCCTGGCCACCATCGGCTGGCGCTGGGGCATCGGCATGTTCGCCATCATCATGCCCGTGTGCTCGCTCAGCGTCATCGTGCCGCTGCTCGGGTTCCAGCGCCGGCTGGAGCGGGTGCGCCGCGGCGGCGGCGGCGCCGCAAAAGTGCGCACAAAGACCACCCTCCGCGGGTTCGCCTCGCAGATCGACCTGGGCGGGATGCTCCTCCTCTGCGGCGGGTGCGCCATGATCTTGCTCCCCGTGGCGCTGGCGGGGAACTCCAACGGCAGCTGGCGGGCGCCGTGGGTGCCGACGCTGATCGTCCTGGGCGTGCTGTGCCTGGTCGGGTTGGGGGTCTACGAGTCGCGGTTCGCCACGAAGCCGGCGATGCCGCCGCGGCTGTTCAAGAACATCTCGGTGACGCTGGCGTTTGCGATCGGATTTCTCGACGCCTTCGCCTACAGCGTCACGCACACGTACCTGTACGCGTGGGCGACGGTGGTGCACGGGCTGGACCCGCGCGACGCGACGTTCCTCACCTACACGGCCGGGTGCGTCCAGGTGCTGACGGGGCTGGGCACGGGCTTCCTCATGTACCGGTCGCGGCGGTACAAGTGGCTGCTCCTCATCGGCGTCGTGGTCCGGCTGATCGGGTACGGGTTCATGATGCGGCTGCGCGGCGCCGACAACTCGCTCGCCGAGATCATCGCCATGCAGGTCGTCCAGGGCGCCGGGAGCGGCGCCGTCGGGACCGTGGTGATCGTCGTCGCGCAGGTCGTCGTGCCCCGCGCGGACCTCGCCCACTCGACCGCCCTCGAGCTCCTGTGCATCTACCTGGGCAACAGCACGGGCTCCGCCATCGCGGGGACCATCTACACGAGCCTGTTCAAGGGCCGGCTGCGCTTCTGGCTGGGTCCCGACACGGACCCCGCGGCCATCAACAGCGTCTACGACTCCATCACGGCCGTGGTCCTGCCCGAGACGGGCACCGCCCAGCGCAACGCCGTCAACCACGCCTACTCGGACATTCTGCGCTTCATGACCATCGCCGCCCTGGTCGCGTCCGCCGTCCCCATGGTCATGGTCTGGTTCCTGCCCAATCTCCAGTTGAGCGACAAGCACAACCTGGCCGGGAGCGAGGGTGGTGTCGACTCGGGGGGGCCGGACCGCAGGGGAGACACGGGTGATGAGACGAGGCTGCAGAAGTGGCGGCGGAGGATACGGTGGTGATTTTCCAGAAAAGAGACTATAAACTGGATTGATCTGGACGGGACTCGACGGCTTTCTTTCTACCTCTGAACGAGAACGAGGTGGATGACGACGCTGGACACCATATGTCTTTATCGCACCCCACGCTGTCTCGAACCCGGGCCTGGATATACCTAACCCGTCTATCTACCTATAGACCTTTGGTTCCGGCCATCCAGCGAAACCCATCTCACGTCTTCGCATGCATAGCATAGCATAGCATAGTATATGTATCTCTCCAGACACGAGGTAGCTATGAGGTATACACGAGGGTATATATTTCCGCGGGAGTTTGGGAGGGAAATACGGCCACAACCCCAAAAAGTCGCGAGTCGCGTCGCGAGTCGCCAAGTCGAAAAATAGAGACGATGGGAAGGATTTCTGGATTTATCACAACACAGTACATATTACATGTACATACCGATGAACGATGGTACGAGGTGTATATATATGGCTTGAGGAATGAATGAATGAATGCAAAGAGAGCATCTACGGGAGTAGTAGGGTATATAATGATCAGTGGTGTGTCCATTAACACACTGTTTCATAACTGTAATAGGTATTGTACATACATATTACCTAGTTTGGAAGAGGGAAAGGGACAACATACATGTAGGAAATGCTAGATTTTCAGTGAGAGGGACTTCTACCCGCTACTATCGTATGACTATTAGTAATTAGTGATTACTATTACTACTACAGTACCTGGGCTACAGTAAAATGTTAGACACATACTCGTACACACCGAGCACACACCTCGCGTGTCTTCTGTATCTGTGTCTAGCGTGTCTGCCAAACATGGCTCGTTCTTGCGCGCCCGCGTGGAAAACCCCCCGGATTGATTCCCTCTCTGGGTTTGGTCTGGTTTGGTTTGATCTGGTCTGAGGGGGAGAAACTCGCTAAATTCTCGAAAAGAGCAAATGCGAATATCGGGAGTCATGGCGTGCGTGCGTGCGTGCGTGCGTGCGTGCGTAGACTATTAGGCGGTCCTACCCCGTACATACTGTTAGAGCACGGCATCGTAGTGGTAGTAGTAGTAGTGTATGTGGTGGACAGGCGGAGATACATCGCTAAAAGAAGCTGGTGGTGGTGGTGGTGGTGGTGGTGGTGGTGGTGGTGGTGGTGGTGGTGGTGATGACGATGACGATGACGGATGACGGACGATGATAGGCGCGCAACATGGGCATAAAATTAACATGTCCTAGAGGATGTATTACCCCATATTATCCTCGATGCCCAACCAGTCTTGATTGTCTAGCGGGCACGCAAATAATACCTCGTACGAGTGAGTACAAGGATTGATTGATATGGTCATCATTCCAAAGCCTTCGTAACAAAGAGAGATGGGGAGAGCAGGACACGACTCTAGAGAGCATGGTAGGTGAGGTAAGGTGAGGTGATTCCTACGAGGACCGAAGTATTTTAATTCAATACTTGTAATTAACATTTTGCGCCCCCAAGCCCTGATCCCTCATCATCCCTCATCCATCGCCCGTCGCCTATCGTCCATCACTCCTCATGGCTGGAAGCTGGGGCCAGAGAAGGAAGCGTGCCCGTCTCGCCTAAACCCACGCAAACCACGCAAACTCGTATCCGGCGCTGACTAGCGCTGATCTGACGCCCTGCTTCTGTGCCCGTGTCCGCGCATGCGTGATACCTAGTGGTACCTCGTAATAATGGTGGACGCAGGGTTCAATCAAACATTAACTCGGTCGGTACCCCAAGGCGGGAAAGGGGGGCGCATTTCCCTCCTTTTGTGTTTGCCCTGCATTCTTGAATAATAGTGCCTGTGCCAGACCGAAACTGAACCCCCCTACCTACCTTAGGTACCAAGTTCTTCGCGCTTGTCAGGTGATAATAACCCCTTACCCTGGTTTGGGGGGGTTGATAACGACAAAGTAACATCGCGGGAAAGAAATATAAAATCCATTCGACGGGGAGCCAACCTTACCTCTGAAGATCGATCGAAAAAGCATACCCCTGGTGTCGGAGGAGGAATTCCGCTCGTCTCAGCTCAACTCACTCCGTCTCAACCCCAGACGACACGATGGACGTCGTTGCGCTCGCCAAAGTCTGCGGTTTGGCCTCGTCAGGCATATTTGCAGGTTTGTCGTCTTTACCCACTCTCCTTTCTTTCCCACGGCTCTCTCCCTGCCCATATCTGTTTTGGGATGAACGATTGGACGCTGACTGATCGACGGTCGTCCATTTCAGGATACACCTGGGCCCTGTCCCATGCTGCCGTACCAGCGATTCTGTTTGCCCCGGACGCCCTGGCCGCGCGAGAATGGCGCTACCAGTATCTCATGGGGTTCCATGTCAGTTAACCAAGTCCTTTTTCGCGATCCAAGTTAGACCCAGTGATGGCTTCTCTGACGCACTCGGGCGGATGGCAGATCTCTAGACCCATGTGCGTCATCAACGGCTTGTCCTTTGGGTTCCTGGCATATCACGGTAAGGGGGTCTCATTTCATCCGGAGGTGGAGGCGGTCCTTTGTCGTGGAATTGCTGATCTGAAGGCTCCTTCCTCTCTTACAGCACCCGGGGGATCTCTCCTTCGATATCTCTACATCCTCGCCGCATCGGCCAGTGCCTCCGGGGTGCCCTACGCCCTGACCTTTCTGCGTCGGACCAACGGCGCCCTGTCGCGAAAAGCAGATCGTCTGGCCGGACCCGGTGGTGGGGAGATGGCACTGACATACGCCTTTAACGAGAAACGCAGCATCGACCGAGACGGGAAGATGAGCACCGCCGAGGCCATCAAGCGGTGGCAGTGGCACAATTATGTGAGGACTTGGGTGTTGGTGCTGGGGACGGTGGCGGGCGCGTTGGCTGTGGCGATGGATTGATGTTATGATGGTGATGGAGGGAGTGACACTGTGGTTGATTTCAAGATGGTTGGGAGCGAGCATTGGTCAGGTTGACAGGTGTGCAAGTAGATGGTAATTAATTGGCACACAAGCATTCGGGAGCCAAGCCGTGATGCGTTGCTGTACCGAGTCAGCGAGTATTCACTTGGGGGTCTGGTGTCACGCGGAGCCAAAGGAATTCTTGGGGTGACGATGCCAACAGTACCTGGTTAGGTAAGGCTGCCGCCCAAGTGTCCAAGCTCACGACTTTTAGGCATGCCCAGCTTAAATTCGGGGGTCTTGAGGCTCTGGCCAAGTCACCTGGAGGCTCCCTGGAGAAACCACCTAGGCCCTGAGCGAGGGTTACACGTGACTACCTCGTACCTCTAGGCACTCCATCCGGGCGGGCCTAGGCCTCTTCAGCGTGGCACCCCAAGACCAGTACCTCGTACTTCCTTCTTCAGCCTCCAATTTCATTAATTTTAGAAAACAAACCTGCTCATTCACTCCCCCCCCCCCCAGCCTCGGTCTGAGCCTCAGCCTCATCGTCCCTCCCTCAATAATGTCCATCCACCCCCTCCCCTTCTTAGCCTCTTTCTTAGCCACAATATTTTATTAGACAAAAAAACCCAAAACATGCTCACCTCCTCCCCCAACCCAACTGCGGGGACCTCGAGGGAGATGAGGACGAGGCTAGGCGTTGTGGCATGGGTATGATATCTTGCTCAATCTTGCTCTTTTTCCATTCTTCGAGGAGGGAAAGGGCTGGAATGGATCGGATTGAGCGAGTAAGTTGAGTGTGTAAGTGATTGATTGATTGATTGGAGATCTTGAGCAGGTTATTCCTCGTAAACAATGCCATCTCCGTCCCGTGTTTTCCCCCAAGGAGGAGAGAGTATATGAAGATGAGGTGCCCGTCGCAGGTCGCATTTCCGATGTTCTTGAATGAATATCCATAACAACATCAACGTCTTGTACTCATACAACAAACCATAGCTTTTCCTCCTAACTGTCACCCCCTAATCCCATCTCAATCTGTCACGCCCAAAACCATGTGTGGCGATTCTCATCTCCCTCCCGCTCCCGAGTCCGGCGACCTCATCGCCATCATCCACCCTAACCCGCAATCATCCTTTCGGGGACGACTGAAACTGTCGAATCGAGCGCCAGGAGCGACCACGACCACTCTCCAATGTGCAGAAAGTAACGCCTCCGAACTTTGCGGACCCGACGCTCTCTTGAACGTGAGGATACAGTAAGTCGAATTGCCGCTTCAGTCCCTGTCCCTGCTATGCTGTGCTGTATCCACTGACATCTCACCTAGCAAATATGGTCAACCTCTCTCAACTTCGTTGCATTCCGCTGTCGACTCGGACTCCGAGGACGAATATGACCCGTCCAATCCCGTCTTGTATTCATTCTTTGTCGACATGGTCAGCGCGTCAAAGACAGGTGATCTGAGGCTCAACCTCGGTGTCGGCGGGGACGGTGTCGTGGGCCGCACAGTATCCATCGTCGATGGTCGGAGGAGAAAGCTTCTGGGAGAGGGAGTTATTGGGTGGAGTTGAATTTTGTCAACATTTTGCGTGTCTAGTCTTGGGAATGCGAATTTTGGGAGTGGCAATAATGAGCCGTCGATTAAAGCAGATACCCCATCCATCCACTGTTATTCATGTACACATCAAACATGTCCAGCTCCTGAGTGCTGAAGTTGAACTGGTCCCAGTTGGTGTTTCCATAACTGGCGGCATCGTACGCGGCATTCAAGTTCGCACCGAATTTGTCCACGTTCGACCAACCACCCCCAGGAAGCAGAGCCGGTGTATAAGGCCTGGCTGGTGGCGCGCTCGCAATGTTTTCAGGCCCAGGGTATGGCATCCGTTTTACAGAGGCAATAATGCTCGCAGGATCCTGCCGTAGGATGCTGGACGCTCGTTGCCGTCGTGTCTGGTCATCCTGGCCTTGTTCATCGTCCGAGAGCTGTCCAGATCGATGCATGTGCCAGATCTTGAGCTTCATAAAGACAAACCCAAAGGCTTCTGCGCAAGGATTCATGCCGCCAGCTGACACCTCGCCCAGTCGGTGGATAATGGCATCCAGATAATAGCCCGTCTTCAAGTCAGGGACAAAGATCGAGCCAAACTTGGATTCTGACGAGCTGAAAATCCAGTGCAGCTTGATCAGGACCACCACGGCATATGCATTCCAGACAATGTAGATATTGGACAGGTTTCGAGCACATTTGACCTCGAGCGAGAGGTAGACATCCAGGACTCGCTGGCTACTTTCCAGCAGTGTCGACAGGGCCTCAATGTGAGCAGATGTCACGAAATCCGGAGCTCTGCGCTGCTCCAACTGAGACACTCCTGGACGGAAGTCATCGACATTGTGGTCGTAGTGGACCGCGATCTCGTGAATATACAAGTTGAGGCACGCAGCTTGGTGTTGTGCAAGTCCTTGTCACAAGTCAGCCCCCCTGTCAAACAGCTGTATGCAATGAGGAGACTTACGCTGATCCACCGAGACGTCGACATTCCGCTCCCATTGTTGCAGCTGCCGTTCAAAGCACTTTAGCTGATACTGCACCCTTGGCTCCATAAAGTTGAGATCGGCACCGGGATCGTCCATATGGAAAGCCGCTGAAACTTCCTCCGCAAGACGCGCCAGTTCCACGTTGCTACACAGGAATTTGTCGGTCGGAGCAGCATGAGGGCTGGTTCGGAGTATCTCCAGGCACTCTTCTATACGTGGGCCGAACCTGATGAGGGTCGGGAGACGAAGGAGTGTGGTGACACTAAGTTGGAACAATCAGCACAGTCGCGGTCACACAGTAAGAGTTTAGCGAACCTTATGTTGGCCTGATAGCACGCCAACCATGTGCGGGCCAGTTCAACCTCTTCTTGTGTACTCCTTTTCAGCTTTGACCTCTTTCCGATTCCTAATTCCAGAGACATGGAGATGGCGGCTTGAATGTTTTGGTTAAATGCAAGATCCCTCGCCGTGCGCGGCCTAACGTAGTATTGAGAGTTTAGCAGCACGGCCTGGATCATGTCCAAAGATTTGTCACCATGGAAGAGCACTCGTTCTGCAATCTGCCGATTGACCTCAATCGTGAGCGCTGCCTGGGCCGACGGTTGCACGACAGGGCTTGCTATAGCCAAAATGGTTAGAAACGTGATAGGACGGGCCCTCCGAATGTGTTCGGGGTCCGTGTCTGGCGGAAAAACGACGTATGGACAAGCAGAGCACATTTCCTTCATCCAGTGATTGAACATTGCTGTCGCACTCTCCATGCTCAAGTCGCCACGGTCAATGACGTCGATGTACTCGTCTTTGGCGATACCATCGACTTGCACCGGGTTACAACCTCTACTAAACTCTGGTTGAGTGGTCGGCACAAATGTCTTTTCCATGAGATTGTGCGGATAAGAGTCCAAGCTGGTATTAGACGTGTCATCAGTTTTGGCGGGTTCTGAGCTGGCACTGGTAGGGGCATCTTTGGGCGGCGACTCATCCTCAGGCTTGCCGCCATCCGTCGCCTGTTGTTTGGCCAGTAAAGCGTTAGTCAAGGCATTGATTTTCTTCTCCAATTCGGCCACCTTGTGGACCGTCTTTTGTCTTTTCCGCGGGGGACCAGGCATGACACATTCCCGGTTGACTTTGGCGCACGCATTACAGGCATCTTGGCCCTCGACCGGCAGACACCTGATTTTCATGCTTCTGCAAGCGATACACGCACGTGACCTCTTCTGCCGCTTGGGTTTTTCGGTGCTTGAGCCTTCATCTTCCTCCAGACTTTCTGGGGACTGGCTGTGGCTGGTTGAGTCTTGAAGTTGGGCATCATGGAGAATGGCCCGTGTTTCGGGGGAGCGATTTTGGTTGAAAGGCAACAGGCTTTCCACAGGAAGTGGTCTCTCAGGCGCCATGGTGTGAATCAATAATGCCTGGTTGGAAAATCCGTCATATCAGACCCGCCCAACAGGCAAGGCATATCCCGTGATGACAAACTGGATCCTGATTAGGCTGACATGGATTTCGCAAGGCGCAGTCCGCAGTTCGACCAGAAACAACCTCCACTTCGATAGTAGATCTGGATAGATAATGGGGAGAGTAATCTAGGGGTTGATGACGGTAACTGAGTGGCGTAATGGGTAGTTAGAAATCAAAAACGAGAAAAGGCATCTGGGTCGAACGGAATCACGGTTTTCGGACTCGCTGTTAAGCAGCTGCTTCGGAGCCGGCGGAATGTTGAGTCCGAATACGTGGTTCAACCAATCGCTGGGCATGATGTCAGTGATGAGTCATTGACTATCTACAGCCTCGCGCAGCCTCGCGCAGCCTTGTACAGCCTTGTACAGCCTTGCCTTGATGGGCTCCAATGAAACACAATTCACAGGGTATCTAGGTACATAGTATTGGTACAAATAGCGGGGTAACCCTTGGGCTACAGAGATACAGGTACCTGGCCATGGCTGAAGGAAAAGTTGCCTTACCAAGATATGCCATAGAGTGACAAGCCTCAAGACTCCTGATGGCAACCGTACACTCATGCAGGCCAGGAACTGCAGGGGCAGGTCAATTTGTGCCTTTGGGCAGCAGGACTTCATATGCCTTGGCCATCATCACGACCCCAGAGCTTGACAGTTCTGTCGTGCCCACTGCTAGCAATCCATTTGGCGTCATTGGTGACATCGACACTGAGGACATTGCCCGTATGGCCACTGAGCTGTTTCACAAACGACCAATCATCTGCTGAGAAGATGTTGACATTCTTGTCAAAGCCACTCGTCACAAAGAATGTGCCCGCTTTTCGAGGATTGTGCTCCTGTCTGACGCCGCTGCCCTCTACAAGGGAGGACCTGTCGCCATCCAGGCCTTTGAACCATTTCAGGTCCGAAACATTGCCATTATGAGCACCAATCCCTCCCACGTTGCGCACTTGACGGAGATCCCAGCATTTGACCCATCCGTCACCAGAGCCGGAAAGGACGCGATAGCCGTCAATGCCCCAATCCAGGGAGAAGATCTCACGGATGTGGCCTTCCAAGATCATGACCGTGCGCCCTGTCCTGAGATCCCAGATTCTCCCTATGCTGTCAAATCCTCCACTGGCGAGCAATGAGCCGTCAGTGTTGAAACTGACAGCGAATACTTGCCTTGAGTGTCCTTCTTGTAACAGGAGCTCGGTTGTCGTCTCCACGTCCCATAACCGCCAGGTCGTGTCAAATGAGGCCGAGGCAAGATATTTTCCCGAGGGGTGGAACTCGACCCTGCAAACACGGTCGGTGTGGCCCTGCAAAGTGCCAATAGGTGTCTCCTTGTTCAATGACCACAGATGTATATCACTTTCCCCGCCTTGGCCGCCGGCACCGCTTGCGAGATTCAGAGAATCTGGAGACACATTGGAATCTTGTAGTGTTGCACCAGGGTACCAGGCAATTCCGCCGACAATGCCTGTGTGGCCCCTAAGCGTCACCTTTTCGTCTAGGTTCGGAACATCGAGTAATTTAATGCCACCGCCCCAATTGCCGGCGGCGATTAGCTCGCCGTTGGGGGCAAATCGAGTGATGCTGACGGGTCGCTCTCCAGCAATCTGTGTTCCAAACAACTCAAACCCTTGTAACTTCTCTTTGATCTCTTTGCGATGTTTGATATGTGTGCGTAATGGGATGGTAGCGTCTTCTCTCTGCCTCTGTACCCGCGCTTTTGCCCTCGGTAGGGAGAACCTAGCGATGTCTCTTCTCGCTTCAAGCAGTTCCGGTAGACCCTCGGTGTAGAACTCTTCTTCTTGATCGGCCTCCTCTTCTGCTTCTCCCATCTGTACGTCGGCAACAGCTCCGTTTGACCCAGCTGTATCCTCTTGGTCCAACAAGAGTTCCCGTAGACGACTTCGCCGATCCGCAGCGTCCTCTCCAAAAAGTGTGACAGGCTCTCCGAGTTCGCGTAGTCGTGCCCTGATTTTTCCATCGTCTGTGGGAACCGCCAGCATAGCCAGTCTTCGTTTTCGGTCGAATTGGGAGAGGATAGCAGATGCTTTTTCGGGAGCGACACCGCCGGCTCCAGTAGGAAGGTCATAATTCCGATCGACAGCTGACAGGACAGTGAGCCCAGAACTATGAAGACGAAACAATGACAATACTTACGAAGGTTGGCCAAATCCACGCCCATCTCGGTATCCTGCACTCAGCCATTTCCGTCAGTCTTGTGTGCCTCCACCTGTTGCTCCGTCACCAGGGAAGATGCGGCCTTGGAGGCAAAATGTAAATAGAGAGACATAGAATAATTTGCTTGCGGCGAAGAATCTTACCTGGCGTTCCTCCTCCACATACGCCTGACGCGCTGGGTGCATCATCTTGATGGCTGGACGTCGAGCGACGGGCCTCGGAGGATCTGGGAATGGGATGAATACGCTGGTAGCAGTCGATGAACTCCAATACAACGAGTTTTCGTGAGACCCGGTTGTGGCTACAGGGAAACAAAACTCCAGTCGCAGGGCACACCCCTCAAGTCTCCACAGGCCCTTGGGGACGAGAAATGACGCCGCTTAGTCGTGGTGCGATTACATAATATTTATGGGACTACGGTGAAGCATTAAGGCCAGGAGACCTCCTGGATATGCACGTGGAATTTACTCGTTTGTCTTTATCTCGACTTCATTGTGCTCCTCATTGTATGGCCATGCCGCGTACTTATCTGGCCTCGGACATGTAAAATATTTACCTACCATGCCTTACATTACACCCGTACGCGACCTAAGTAAGTGCGTGTACCTTTACTTCAGTCTTGTTTTGAATTAGTAGCGTAGGCACCTTTGGCGCGCTGCCCTCGTACAAGGCTGCGTCCCTACCTGACTCCCTAGCATTTACTCTAATTGCGCTACAGTTCACTCGTCTTCACCTATCTCGCGCGCTTTCTAGTGTTACCTACTAAGATCCCTTCATTCTCGCCCTCCTCCGTTTGACTTCACCGTTGCGCCGCCTGCAAACCGATTTTCTACAGCGACCCAGAGCCCTGGAACGGTCTTCTAGTACTTCAGTGATGTGCTTACGCGCGCTGAAATGGCCGACTTAACGCTCGCAAAGTCTGTCAGTTTCGCTTGCTGCCGGTCTATTCAACCTTACTGTCACTGTATGTCAAGCAGGAGCGTCGCAACAAGGCATATAAAAGCTATTTAGAAGATGCTCGAGAGCAAACGCGTCAAATAAAGGACAAGGTGTCCCAGCTTGTCAAGAATGGCAAGGACTCAGATCTGGCTCAATTCAGACCGCAGCTCGAGACCCTGAATAAAGCGCTGCCTAAATCAAGGGCGGATCTGAGCAATGCAGGCACCGAGGAGGACGTCGGTAGGGTAGTCAAGCAGTCAAGTCAGCAGGTGGATATGGTCGAGGATTTGGTCAAGAATCTTCTAAGCGACGGACTTATCAGGGGACGAAAACCTCGATAATCACCCAACCCCCATATCAGACCAAGGCCTATCGACAAAGCCAGATGAACGAGAAACCCGAAAGCTCATCATAACAGACTCGCTCTTTGATGAGTTTGAGGAAAACAGGCCCGCGTTGATTCGCGTCTATTCCCCAAGTCATCTGAACGTGCGTACCGACGTTGTATTTATCCACGGCCTCAATGAAGACGCAAGAGATACTGCGGCCGAGTAGAAGAAAGGCTACATTTTGGCCGTGGGTCTGGTCCTGGTCCTGGTGGCGGCGCGAAGCAAATGGGCCTTGGTCAGGTCAGGAAAAAAGGTACGTTTTTATGATGACAGTGCGTGAAACTCGTACTCGTATCCAGTATGTGCCTGGATTTCTAAGAGAGAACAGTACTGTGCATGCCCTTTTCCAGATACAAAAAAAATGAGCTTGCAGAACGTCCGGGCCTGTATGACTCGCCCGTAGAAGCTTTGTGCGGTCCCAACTCGTCTTTCTTCCACAGTGTGTATTTCCTGACTTGCGAGTTACCACGGCCACTATAATGTCATGTCCCAGAAGGCTCTTCGTCCACACCGTCCCCGTCCTCGTCCACATCCCCGTCCTCGTCCACATCCCCGTCCTCGTCCACATCCCCGTCCTCGTCCACATCCCCGTCCTCGTCCACATCCCC